CCCTCCCTCCCTCCCTCCCTCTCTCCCTCCCTCCCTCCACAGTTTTAGCAATTACTTGTTCTCACTTTCACTCCATGCACCCCTTCTATTTTTTTCTCCTTCCTCCACAATGGTTGCCAGCACTACTTCTAACCATCTGTTACACTTGCTTCCAGCCACTTTTTCTTTTCTCTCAGTTAATTTGATGCTAATGTCTCTCAACCAGGACTGTAATTCTGCCCTTTGTAGCTCAAGCAGGTTACAGAGTTGGTCTGCCATTTTTATGACCCCCACTATCACCTGCTATACATTGTTGAGATTGGATTCTCACAACACGCTAAGCCCAAAAATGTGTTTTGCTTGCTTTGTGGTTTAGTGTGTTGGGGGAACCCAGACATTAGGTTTGCAAATCATGGCTTAAGGGTTGTTGTGTTTTCTGAACCCTTCTAAATGTGGTATATTCAGTAGAGTATGGTAAAAATATTGGTTACAGCAATGTATGAACCCAGCCTACGTGTGGAATCTTAAACATTCTTACTACAGAGTTAAGCCCTATTGAACAAAGTAGAATCCACTTTGAATATAAAAGCTGAGATCATGCAGCAGAGAATGAAACATAAACGTTTTCTATGATTCTTGGTATAATGAGATCCAGAGGCTTTTTCACTAATTATTGTTCACTTTTGAGGACAAGAGAACTAAACAATTCAGCTGCTCACATCATAATTTGGGGTTCTCTTGACGTTGGCAAGATCCTGCTAAAGAACAGGGCTTTCCAGTTACAGTGAACATTGTTCAATCGGTTGTAAGTATTTTGCTCAGTAAATGCATGCACTCATTAAAATGCATTTTTCTCCATTCAGCTGTTTTGATGATGGATGATGATACCCTAGTTAGTGCCTACGACCTAGTTTTCGCTTTCTCCATTTGGCAGGTAATGTTTGCATTCTGCTTTGCATACTTACTTTATTTGGTACAAAAAGTATTTTGAGCTATGTAGTGGTCCTCAAAGGTCTTCTATGCATGCCTACTTAGAAATTAGTGCCAAAGAACACAGCATACACAAATAGTTGTGGAGCACTTTTCCTAAAATTGGTGATTTCCAAAAGTGCCAAGGTCTTCTAACAGATTGTATGTCTGCTAGGTATGTGTTAGACACAAAAAGAATTCAGCTGTATTTTGAAACTCAGATTTAACTAGCATACTGAAAGCCAAACTACACATTCAAAGATTTAACAGAGAGATCGGTTCTATATGTTTATTATGTGGTGCAGGAGATAGGTTTCCACTGTACCAGTAGAACAGCCACCCTGTCTTCTAATTGCCCAGCCTGGGAAGGGAAAAGGAAAATACAGTAGAAAATAAGGAGACAGCATATACACTAACAACATTCCAAAAAACACTGTCGGTGATGAGTAGTTGTTGACTATGTAGACAAGAAGATCCATCCCTAGAGAGAGAGAGTTAATGAACTCCTGATGGCAGATTTTCATAAGGTCACAGGGACCATAATCTACTAATCTTAATGGTAGAACCTGCAACAATCCCACTTTTGCTAGTTGCCAATCTCTCCATATATATCGGAATTCTCTTATGTTTTTGAACAAAACATGCACAGTAGGGCTGTGTGACACTTTGGATTCTAAGGGGTAGGGGGGAATGTACCTCCCTGATGCAACTGCATCTTTTCCCAGGATTGCATGGCTGCCTTCTGCAGCTGCACTGTGATCCCAGGAAAAGAGGTGTTTGACTTGAGGAGTTGCAAACAGCTGCAATGTGCACGTAGCCCATTTGAATCTGAAGCACTGCATAACCCTAACATACAAACCATACCACATAGCTTGCTGAACAAGCGCACTGTCAGCCCCGCTATGTAGACTAAACTAAGAAATCAACTTCACAGAAAGGCTAAAACTATTTTTATTGATATTGGCTATAGTAAAAGAATCTGATTGTGCTTTATTCCCCACTCCCTTGCCCTTATGTGAATTAAGGAGGTGTCTGCTGGAGATGCTTTTGCATTTCTTCTACCATGATTTTCCACTTGTCTATTGGTAATGGATCTGGCCTGTCTCAGTCAAGGTCATCTTCCTTATTCTCTACACACACACACCCTTCCAAGGATAAGATACACAAAGGAGGAAAGTATTCTTTGACCAAGCTGTCCAAAGGATGCAAAGAAAAGCAAGCTGCTGCACCCACCTCCTCTAGTTCACCATATAGGGTACAGGACTGGGAAGCCAAATATTTATTTTAGATAAAAATAAATTCTATTTTAGATAGAATTTATTTCTATCTGGGAAGGAATTATTATAGGTAGTCCTCAGGTTATGACCGTTCATTCAGCAACCATTCAAAGTTACAACTGCTGAACGAATGGCACTTATGAAGAGTCCTCATAGCTCTGGCCATCGCAGTGTCCCCACAGTCATGTGGTTGCAATCCAGGTGCTTGGCGCCCAGTTCACAATTATGACATCACAGCAAGCCTTGATCATGTGATCACGATTTCCAATGTTCCCTGCCAGCTTCCCCCAAGCAAAGTCAACAGGGAAACGAGCAGAAAGTCAGAAGACACAGTCATGTGAGGTCCTTGCTTAATGACCCGTGCGGTCCTCACTTAACTATAGCTGCTGGGACTGCTGTCGCTAAGCAACATGTTCATGTGACATCACGCTTTACAACTGTGTCACTTAGCGACAGCAATTCCGGTCCCAATTGCTGTCATAAGCTGAGGACTGCCTATATGACACTTTTTGCGCATCTGCCCCAAACTGAATGCATTTCAGTTCTGCATGTATCTGAGAGTTGGTGTAACATAGTAACACCTGTTCTAAATATCAGGCAGAGCTTAATTCAAATCTTACCTCTGCTGTGGTCTCCCTATGTCCCTCAGGCACGTTTTTCAATTTCACTCTTTGGAAATTAATAATACTGGTACTTTATAAAATAGCTGTCAGGATTAGACTAGATTATGGATTTGGTGCATTTTGAATATGTGAATTATTATGTAAATTGGGATATTGCAGATGTGGAGTTCCCAAAAAGACCAACTCTCCTCTGGATTTTTCTAGAAGGAATTTCAGTGCTCAGACTGGGAACAAGCTTCAGAAAAAAATGAATCCTGTTCTTTCATAATATAGCACAGAAGATGCACAAATGGCTATATAGTATACAGGCAAACTGGACCCTGCTGAGTCCGTAAAGCATGCCAACATAGAAATCAGGGCAGTTTCTGAATTCCACTCTTAACATTTAACTTTTTAAGTATCTATCATTTCTTGGCGCAGAATGTGATTCAGTTTGCAGTGATAGTAAACCTTATCGTGGGGAACACCTCGTAAAAGATTCTTTTTGATATATTTTTTTGTTATTGTGTCATAATCCTTTGCAATTGTGATCATTTTCAACAAGGCACCGAATAGCAATATTATGACGACTTTCTTGTCTTACAGCAATTTCCGGATCAGATAGTTGGATTTGTTCCCAGAAAGCACATACCCAGCCCTGCAGGGATATATAGCTATGGGAGCTTTGAACTGCAGGGTCCTGGCATCGGCAACGGGGACCAGTATTCAATGATCCTAATAGGAGCAGCCTTCTTCAACAGTGCATACCTAGAACTTTTTCAAAAACAGCCTGAAGCTGTGCACACCATGATAGATGAGACTCAAAATTGTGATGACATTGCCATGAATTTCTTGGTAGCCAAACATACTGGAAAGCCATCAGGCATGTTTGTGAAGCCAGTAGACATCAGGAATTTAGAAAAAGAAAGTAATAGTGGTTATTCTGGAATGTGGCACCGGGCAGAACACTTGCTGCAAAGGTCCTACTGCCTTAATAAATTGGTTAGTATCTATGGCAACATGCCTTTAAAATATTCTAACATTATGATTTCCCAGTTTGGTTTTCCAAACTATGCTAATCACAAGAATAAAGTATAAGGATATGCTCCAAGTAAATGCTTCAACATGCTTCTCAGCAATTAAAATAACAAACCAAGTAGGGAAGTATGTAAAGAAATCTGTAGGGTACACATTATTTGGAGCTTATTTCTGCAAGAGCTCTTTGGGGATGTCATGTCTGGGTGAAACAGTCCATCTCTTGTGCTCAGCATGTGAAAGCTTCTTCCGTTGGCTTTGCTATTTATCCCCATTTCAGACAACCCCAAACGCTTGAATGCAGATTATCCCAGAAAGCCATGTGCATTCATGTAATCAAAGTTGCAGATATATCTCCAACCAAAATGTGTAAGCCCACAACCATTTTTATTTTCAGCCAGCCTGTTCAGATATATCAGTAAAAGGATGAAAATAATGAATTCTCCATAAAATTGTAGTATTTTGTTTTCCACATACAACCAGGCTACACTTGATTTGTATGTCAGATACTGATCCAGTGATTCATTAGTTTTATTCATAGAAATATGAAATGACATATTTTCTGTGGAATAATTTTCTGATTTGAGAACATTTGCAATAACATTATTTTCTGCCCTCCCACAGCTAAATAATAATTTTTAAAAAACAAACAGTGAAATATTTGACACAAATGTATTCTCTTGATCTTGGGACATATTGAAAGTTTGCCCTTTCCTTCCACAAATCTCTTGATTTTAAAAGTTTTTTGTATTTTGAGACAGTGCTACTTTATGTCTTAAGCCAAGACCTCAAATAGCTTGCACTGTTTTCTGACTCTGACATAATGATAAAATGTTTCTGAGCTGATACAACTTGTAATATGTATGTGCTTCAATCTGAAATGCTCTCTGAGCATCTCTGAGACAACATACCAGTTTTAACTTCTTGCCTATCAGTAAAAGTCAGTAAAGGAAATTGCAAGGTTGGGAATCTTTTCCATGGAAATCATAATGCAAGACACTTGAAAGCAAGAGGGAAAGCTCCTAACATTTCAAGTTGCTGTCTTCTCTGTAAACTACTACTTCTGTATATTTAAGAGCAGCAATTGTGTTTCCAACTACATTACATTCCATGGAAGCCAGGTCTGAGATCCAGAGATCCTATATAACGCATGTTCTTTTTTTGCTTGCTTTAGCCCCCCCATCCAAAGCTATTCAATCCATATTTTAATATCCAACATGTTTAAACTGAACGTTTGTCACTATAAAAAAAACATTTTATCTGTGCAATATTTTGATCGGATCAAAAAGATTAAGCGTAGATTACTGTACAAAAGCTGCAGCCAACATCTGCAACAATGATCTGGGGCAGCTCACAGGTAGCAGAACAGAGGGCACAGCAGCAAAGTAGGAAATTGTATCAAAGATTACTCAGCCTACAATCAGTATGAGTTCAATTGCAATTTTTTTATTTGAATGCACATTTTTTCAGGCTTATGTAGATAGATGATCTGAAACTGGTGGCTCATTGCTGCCTTCAAGAAAAGAAAATGAATACGAGTATTTCGTTCGGGAATTGGGGTTATGCTCCCTTGAATATTAAAATGCTGTATTTCTGTTCATTCAGTTAAGTTTATTCTGTATCTGAGTTTGTGTATTTCTTTTCCTTCTGCTCAATCATTTTCAATCTGTTGAAAATATTTACAATTTAGAATTCAGTGACAACTGGAGATGTGACTGCCTAGTTCAGTTGTATTTTTGATGTATTTTCCCCCAAGAGTTGTGCATTTTTCCTCTTTTATAGTCATATTGTTTGTTTTTTCATCTTTATTTTCTAACAGAAACGCTAATAAAGATGTGTAATAATGACAAATGTTACATGGTTATTTATTGGCTGGAGTGAGCTATATTATACAAAAAGTAGACTAATTCCTTCTTTTACACTTGTGTGCCAATGAATTCCAACTACTGGAATTAAATGTACATAAGATTACAGCTCTGAAGATTGATTAGAAATGACTGAGTTGCAATCTTTATCTAGGATTGAGCTACATTATAAATAGTATCTTGGAAATAAAATCCTATTTGGGATTTATTTCCAAAGAAACATTGTATGTCCCCTGCACATTCCCTTATCCCCAATATTAGAATGAATATTCCCTAACTACTTGAAGCACATTGTTCAAGGCTCTGTCTTAATATAATGTCATCCCAGCTAAAGGACACTTTATGGGTCCTGGAAATGTAATACCATTTAGCTACAGATCTGTGATTTAGGAGGGTTATTTCACTAAAGCAAACCTGTATTTCTGGTTAGAAATGCCCCCAAAGTTAAAGTCTCTTTCAAGTTGAACTTGACTCTTGGTGGATATGCATATATCCATGTGAATTTCCTGCCCCCACTGACATTAGTGGAATTTTCAGTATGGGTGTGTGTGTGTTCGTACATGTTAAAATAAAGACTCCCAACTTTAGTTATTATTTATTTGTTCGATTTATGTTCTGCCTTTCATCCTGGAGTTCAACACAGCATTTCCTCCACCATTTTTTTCTCACAACAATCTCAGCAGGCTGAGGTTACTGAGTTTCTATGGCTGTGGGTGAACCTGAATCCAGGTTTCCCTAGTTCATTACTTTAACCTCTATACCACATCGGTTCTTCAGTTCATCTTCCAGTGACTACATCCATATGGTTTGCTTGGCAATGTTACAGAAGCGGTTTACCACTGCATTCTTCCAAGACGTTTTAACTTCCTAGTCTAACCAGTACTCCTTGAATTATATATATAGAGAAAGAGTGAATAAACCTCTGTTTTAAATTCTGCAGAAGAAGATCCAGAAATACATCCATACAATAAACATTAACTGCAGCTAATGCTTTTTACCCGAATTAAAGAGCAGAGTTTGTTTGCCTTATAAGGATGGGGCTTATTTAGATACTTGAGCCTCAGCACCACTTTTTTATACAAATTAAATGATACTGTAATGTAGTGGATTACTTTAGTGAAACTTGACATGTCTTAAAGCCATTATAGGCATTGGGCATAATCTTAAAATGGGGAAGAGAATCTTAGCCTGTTTCCTAAATCCAGGGAAACATTTTCCTACATAATACTGTTGACCCATTTTAGATTAGAACATAATGAATGGAAGTAGAACTGCATCATGAGATCCAATACTTAAAAGAATTAATTGCCCAATTTTCAATACACCAGCAGATGGCACTCCTAAGATCTTGCCAAGCAGTACTAAGAAAGAATAAGATCATGGAACTTTGAGTAGTAGTATATTGAAAGCTTAGTGTTGTACTGAAAACATTGTTTTATAAATATGGTGTTATTTATATAAAAATGATGGGTTATTAATGCAATATTTATGTCAGTTCAACAAGCTGCACAATAATCATATTAGTAGCATTAACTGCTATCTTTTACAAATATTAAACAGGCAATGTGATTAATGGATTACAATAGAGTATCTGAGCAAAGGAAACAAAGGAAAGATATTTCTGAAAGCAATGTTTGATAAAGCTGAATAGGAAACAGTTTCTGTAATGCGCACAAAAAATCCAGGTTACTGGGAAAAATGTCCTTGTGACAATCCATTTCTACTGTCTTGTCCATAATGTAGATTCATTGATACATTAGGATTAAGAAAGACATTAATGACAGTTTTAGTAATCTAAATGATTACTGTAAGATAGAATGATGTTTATGGAGCCCTTGGTGTTCTCTGAGCTTGGTTGTTTTCTTGCAGACGTTTCATTACCTGACTAGGTAACATCTCTAGTTCTTTCAGATCCACAGTTCAACCCTGAGCTACATATATTCTCTTCTATTGGTAGAATGGTGTTAGACCTGAGCCAGAGTTACAATAGACCAATCAGATGCCACAGAATCTAGATGTTTGTGCCCAATAGGCAGTGTTTATGCTCGTTATAAGGTTCCTCTCAGTTTGTAACTGACATTGTGAAGACAAGTATCTGGAAGGCCTAAGGGAAAAGTAAGTTCTTGAAACATTCTTATAATTTTAACTTTTAATCTGCTAGCTTCCTCCGAGCTTTTCCTTGGGGGTAGCACCCAGAATACAGTATCTTCCTATACTATGGGTTAAAGTCTTTTCCACCATTTGTATTGGAAGAGAAACATCATTGCTATCATTCCATTTATGTCTTCAGAAAGTTTGAAAAAGTAACTTCTGAGAAAATTAGTAATAATCATAGGATCGTAGTACCATACCTCTAACTATAAGAGTTTATATTTCTTCTCTACTCTTCAAGGTTGCTGCTCCTGAGCACAAGAACCAAACTGATATTTTGGTCAGTTAACAGCATAATATATTTTTATCATATGTAACTATCATAACAATGATTAAAAATATGAGGTAACATCCTTGGTACCATCCATGGACTTCTGTGCAAAATGTTAACTTGAAATAGTCAAAAGGCATCTTATGCAATTTTACATGAAATTCAATTTCAGTCACCTCACAAGGGTTTACTTTTAAATCATCCTGCACATGATCAGTTTGAATGCTTGGAATCCATAAATATAGGTCAGTTGCCTCTTTATGCCTTTATCTAATTTATGGGATTCAGGCAAAGAAGCTAGGTTTCCCAGGTTTATGAATGGAGTGATAATGCTAATTTACTAGTGCTTTAGAATGTGCAGAGGTGCAAACATGGCATCTGTCAGTAACACACATAATTCTTTCACAAAAAATGCAGCTGCTTTAAAGAGTTCCAGACAAGTGCTTCCTGTGCACTCTTGCACACTAAAAAGCTCCCTTTTGGAAATGAATCCAAAGTGCTGCCCAGCCTTGTAACCCACATTAAATAATTGTAAGCCATGGAACAGATATTGGTCAATACCAATTAATTAAAACATACTATATGTGCAGCATAAATCATAGAAAGGAATGGAAATGCAACATCATGCCATATGAAAATAGGGCACTGCTATTCAGGCTTCAAAAATTATTTGGAAGAAGTGCTTTAGTTTTTGTGTGAGGGTAGCACCTCTTTTCAATTAATTAAAGAAGACTATTTCTTCCAAGCTTCCTGAAAAGAAGATGCCACAGCACCTCAAAGGCCTTTCATAAGTGTTATCATCAGATATTTGTATGGTGGATTTACATAAGCTAATATCAGTAATTATGATCATGCCAGTAGACTCTTCTAAGTGCATTTCTGGAAAAACTCTTGTCATAATAATGAATGGGAACTGATAATCCATACCAACCACATCTTAATGGATTTGACACCAGAGACCATCACTGGTAACACTAGAATGTGTTACCAACTCTGTCAGTTGTTGCTATACTAATAATGGCTATGTTTGAAAGCCATTTGAAACCAGGAGTGAAAAACTAGCCCGTAGGCTGCACGTGACTCATTGATTGCCTGTGTTGCTCCCACATCCCCCAATTTCATCTCTTTCTCATATTTGCAAGTAGCATCATGAAATTCTAATGTTTTCAGCTTCAATAAAATAAAAACAAAGCTTTTTTTCACCTTTAGTTTTTAAATTTTTCTTAGTTGTCCTACCCACTTTTGGAATATGGCTTTTGACATGTTATTTAAACACCAGTGTAACCCTCTAGTTTTTTACCCTTGCATTATTAAGTACAATTGACAAACCACAATGGCCATGTTCACATAACATGTTAAACCCAAAGAAACCACCTTATAATGTAATGTGATGGCTGGTTCACACAATATGTTAAGATGTAATGTAGTCTGTTTGGTTTTGATTAAACATTAGTACATTGTGCATTGCAATCCTATATGTATGGGATTGTACTTCTGCAAGACAATTGCAGACATCCTCTTAGTTTATTATGTTGGTCTTATGTAAGGCTAAAAGAAACAAGCATGCTTCTCATCAGAAAGCAAAAACAATTTAGGATCAACATCACTATTTGACATATTTGGATAAGTATTGATGTTGTACTACAGATATCATATCCCCCTTTTTCAAATTTCAGCAGCAGCATCTGCCTTTTAAATTCTTCACAGAGTCCCCAGTACAGAATCATTCTGCAGCATTTGGAATATCAAATGTATCCTCAGATGTAGTAGTAAAGTAGGGCTTCAGACTTCCTAGGAGCAAACCATCTCTCTGCTATTCACTGAAAAAAGCAACTATTTAAAATCATGAAAGGCGGCAATTTTTTAGGCTTTTGCACTAGCTTGAAAACAATGAGGCTTTTTTAAGGCTAATTCAGAAATCTAAAAACAGCCAGCCTTCCTTAATGAACAGGAGAGAGGTATGTTGCTTGTGAGCGGTCAACAGTACTTCTTCCAAATCATTTTTGAAGTGTCCACTGTCCTAGAAAACCCAAGAATCATTCTGCCTAAAGCTTTCTAAAACTGGAGCTTATCCTGTTCACCCATTTTCATGAAATAATTCTTGTGATATGAGGCCTAACTCCAGTCATGTAATGTGTGGATTGTGATAAGACAATCAGTTGTACAGTAGTTATTTTCAGTATGTGTTAAAGTAACTAGAAGTATTATCAACTAAGTAAGAAATGTGAGCTACATGTAGAAGAACCTATTCCAAGACACTTGAAATAACTTCTAGTTTCTGTTTGCTTAAACGGATTAACAAGAGTTCATGTCTTCTTTATTGGATACTGCAAATATTCTTAACAGTAATTTAGTGTGTCTTAAAATTTCCTGGTGACTTCCTGTTTTCCATGTATCAAACAGTGAAATATTCTTCTTCCGTTTGCCTAGGGCTGTATAAGACTTTCATATGAACATGTACTAAGGAGAAAAGGCAGAGGGGCATCATTTTGTTATAGATTATAAATCAAGGGACAAGATGGCTTGGTTCACACAATTGGCTAACCTATAATATGATTTATTTTGGCTTAGCCTGCTGTGTGAACACAGCAACTGCAATTTGTAAACCATAGTTTAGTGCTTATCATGATGCGTGAACATCCTTAGTATATTAGGCTAAGTAACCTGGCATATTTCTTCATTTGGATCTGCCAGCAGAAATATATAGTTTACGATTAGCATTTCTGAGCAGGTGCATTCACATAGCCTTCTGCAAGGTCCTGAAGATATGGCTAGGTTAGTGGGCTTGAGGGTCAGAGGGTCTGTTGGAGCCTGTAAATTAATTTTATTGAAATATTTGATTTGTATTTGTATTGATTTTTTAAAAAAAAAATCGCTGTGATTGTCTATTTAATTTGTATTTTTGTTGGTTTTTGCTGTTTGTTTTTTAAATTGATGTTAGAGGCCCAGAGTCACTCGCTGAGATGGGCGGCCATATAAATGGAATAAATAAACAAACAAAAACCTCACAATCTGAGAAAGCTTCTGAAATCTAACTAGACCAGAACAAATACTCTATTAGGATGACCGGGCCTGCCATCCTGTTCTCCAGTCTCATCAATGAGAAGGTAGAAAAGGTTATGCCCACCTTAAGGTAAAGCCAGTGAATGCAGTGGGTTTTTGAATAAACATGCTTAAATAAAATTGTGGGTGTTAAGTGTCCAAATTTTCATTTATAGTAGCTTGATATAAACATCACCTCATCCACCAGCCAGGACCCACTGTATCATGAAGTCAGGTGATTGTCTTGGGATGCTATAAGAACAGCAACTGTTACTAAATGGATTACTGCAATATTTTAGTGGCAGAACAGGGCAAAGGTGTAGTATGAGATGATTTCCCTCTCCAGACTAACTGCATCATTTTGGGACATCATTTTGTTCCTTGACTTGGCAGATATGCTATCTTTGCAAAATGTTTTGGGGTCCAGTCTTTAAAGGTGATTATAGTTTGCCCATTATGTGAAGAATTTTCAACTATTATCGAGAGGTACTACATAAATGCTAAGCATGCCTTGAAAGGTAGGGAAATACAGTTGCTAGTTTCTTCAGCATTTTGAAGTAAAAATCATTAAAGGGCTAAATTAATCCAAGTGATCTTGTGCAGCTCTGCCAAGTCTCATTCAGTACAATTGCAGTTGGGTTCAGTTGTGTAGGATGCAGCCCAGGACTACTAAGAATGTTGATTTCAAAGTCAGGGACACAGAGCTCAGTGATTTGCCCACCTGGCTCTTTGTCTCAGGCTATCATTATCTTAGTGAAAGTAATCACTATCACACTCCATTGATTCTGGCTTTCAAATCAACAGACATAATGCAGGTTGCTAAAGAGATCACACCTATTAAGATGTCACAAGGAAATCATCAAGGACGCCCTTTATCCACAGAGATCCATAGGTGATGGTGGTGGATGAGACAAAATGTGTTTTGTGACACTTAAGTGCAAACTCCACTCCTACATACATGTGCATGACGTTGTGATGCAAGTATAAAAGGACGGAGCTTGTGTTGTGACATCACAATCCCCATTTTGTCATTTGGGTGTTATCATGATTAGGAATAGGTGCCTATGCTTTTATTTCACCCCATCTTGAACTTCATATTGGGAACAATATCTTATCGGGAAATTGAAACACATCCTGGGCATAAATGTGGCTGGAGATACACAAGTTATGATATGCTACTAGTGTACTATGATAATTGATCATTATGAATGTTCTACAGCAACATTTACTGATATAGTACAACACTTCGGTAAATAATCAGATTGCTCGATTGACTGGGTTAAGATTGATACAGTTCTTACATATCTGGAAATCTTTAAAAATTAACGTTTTACTTGCTGTTTGAATTCTTTCAAGTCTTTTGGAATAAGGATCCCAAGGGGGGGGGGGGGGTAGGGGAAAATATTTCAGCCTTTTATCTCCTATTAATCCTGGTACAAGGCGATGGTTGAGGCTGAAGAAAGTTAGAGGAGGAGGCGACCTGCTCTTCTTTCGCAACTTTACGGGGCGGAAGAGGGAGGCGGCCTCAGGTGCGAACCAGGGACAGCCCTTCGGAGGCGTCGCTTCTCGGCCTGAGCCAAGGTGCGTATGTAACAAAGCCCTGGCAACGTGGTTGCTACCGCAGCGCCGGCTGCCTGGTAACCGGGTCCTGCCCCTTTAAGCCGCCGGAGGGCGGGACGGAGGCGAAGAAATCCTTTCCACCCCACCCTCCGGCCGGTTCCTCCGCCACTCACGCTGGTCGCTGGGTCCCGGAGCCCTCGCCTTTCCTTTTCCTCCTTCGCGTGCTCACTTCCATCCCATGCGGGCGGCGGCGGGGAAGGAGTCTCTGGTGGCTGCAGCAGCAGGGGGGGCGGGGGCGGCGTTAGCCGCTGGATCGCAACTCCGGGCTG